TCCATTTGCTACAGAGCAAAGTGGTCTTTTTAAAATGAAACTGTATCTTAAAATCCTTCCCGTTAAACTTAGAATAAACCCAAATTCTTTACCAAATCATTACAAGACTCCATGATCTGACACCTGGTACTCCATTAACCTTATGCTTTCTTTGTTCACTATACTAGCCTTCTCGCTCTTCCTGTAATACATTCAGTTCCTTCTTGCTTTCTCATGAGTAAGCACTTTCCCATTTGCTGTTGTCTGTACCTAAAAACCTCTCTATCAGATCTTTCCAAAGATTTCCCTTTCTCAACACTGAGGTTTTCATTCAAATACCACCTCCTCAGAAGATAGCCTCTTTGTCTGCTCAATCCCTTAATCTGACTTGATTTTTATAGTATTTACTAGAATCATCTTATTTACTTAGTTATCTGCATGATTATTCTTTCTTCATTAAAATGTAAGCTCCAAGAAAACAAGATCTTTGATTATTTGCCATTCTCTTAGCTCTTGGAATAGTATTTCACTCATGGTAGAGGTAGCTAACTAAATACTACCCTAATGCTCTGGTCAGTAGACCCTTGAAATCTGTGGATTTAAACATCTGTTGTTTCTACTATGTGCTAATGGCCCTCTAGGATCATGACATTCAGTAAGCAGTATGTACGATCCAGGTTTCAAAGAAACTTCTGTTCTCATGTTAACACAGTTACACTTACTAGGTAATGTAATCCTGGCTCTACTACTTACTGCCTGTAAAACCTTGTGCAAATCCCTTAACCTCTTTCGGGATAGATGTGAAGATTAAATGAACTGATTCACATAAAATATTTAAAATAGCACCTGACACGCAGTAAATACATAATTATTAGTCTTGGGGAAGTGGCTGGGGTGGAATGTGAAAAATGCCTATGCAAAAAAAAAAAAAAAAAAAATAGAGTAAGTCAACAGGTGGTCCTAAAGGTGAAGGTGAAGATTACAGTCTAATGAACTAATGGTTTTCACCAGAAAATCACTGTTTTCTATGGGAAAACTGTATGCTATAGCTCTGTTCTTGACCTTGGAAAGTGGTAAAAATCTTGAGAAATGTCCCACAGTATTGTAAAGACTGTACTTGAATGAAATCAATCAACAGCCTAGTTAAGTTTCCCTTGCCTTGATAAACCAGACCACTCCCAAATCTACCCCATGCTGTGGGTGTTGTTTCCACTACTAGAACAACCTTATCCAGTCTCTTCAAGGCCAATGACAAGCATGACTTCATCCGTAAATCCTTTCCTGATTATTCTCCAAAATATGTGATTACTACCACCTCTGAAATGTCCAGAAAACTCTACCACTTCCTTTGCTCTGTAGGAAAATAACTTGTGCACTTATCTACGTTACATGTAGGAACCATATCTTGCTCATCATGCATTCAATAAACATTTCTGAGCGCCTGTCATGTACAGAATACTAAGGATACAAAAGCAAAGGAAGACCTGCAATGAACAAACGTGGCAACAGAATAGCAGTATGTATTCTGTACAGGGACGGCAGGAAAGAGCCTCTACCACTATGCAGCATAATGCCATTATATGGTAAGCACTCAGTAAGTATCTATTAAACTCCTTTTTGAAGCTTTTCCTTACCACTGTAGCTCACTGTGCTCTTCTCTCTAAACCCTAAGTCTGTCCAACCAATTCAGTAGGATACCTTTCAACCTATGTATCAACACTGTAGGCGGTTATAAACATTTTATATACAAATGTCTTGACCTCCCAAACTAATACCGTGTGCTTCTTGAGAGCAAGAACTCCCAGAATATTAATTCAAGTATCTATTAAATGTTCCTATAATTTCTTGAAGCTACTAAAATCTGTCACTGGCCTAACCACACTATCAGTAGCATCACTTCTGAATCACCCCACCTGTGCTCTGGTTCTCCACAAAACTCATTTCAGTGTTGTTAAAAGAGGAGGCCAAATAAATGTTGCTAAGTGTGAGAATATGCCACTGCTCTCAAGCTGGGAGTCCAGATCCCAGAAAGACAAGTTTCTTTCTTTCCCCAGCTAGATGACTGGGTCCTCTGAGAGTTCAGGTACAAGTGCGTTATCATGGATTCATCCTGACGGCTAGTTAACCTATGTGCCTATAAGACAGTAGGCATGCAGGAAGCACTCAGTAAATAATAGTTGCCCTTTTCTCCAAAACTCTAAGGCTCTAAATCCTGTTGGTAAAAAAGTAAAAGTGACCCCAACTTTATTACCACTTAATTTTAATGCACTGAATATCAAGGAGAGATTAAATTCCTGGTTCCCAATTAATTCTGATCTAGTACAAGCTTTGGGGAGCCAAAGGGGTCTTTAAACTTATAAGGTACACCTAAAATCTTATGCACACTTGCAAAGAAAACAAGTAGAAAACATCATGTAACTTGAATGTAAGATTTTGTTCAATGGCTTCTATAGTTATCATTTGGTGCACTGTATTCACATGAATGTCTAGATGAAAAATCAGTTTCATACTTGGATACAACTGGACTATATGGGGATCTGTAATCATATAAGCCCCTAGTGCAGCACTTTCTAGGCACCCTTATATATCACACAATTACTTCCACCCAAATCTGGCAAAATCTAAGTTTCAGCAGCTCTGTATCCATTCCAAGAGGAACGTCCTCCCTTGTTTAATCTCAAGAACACAAAACAGATAGTAGACCCCTATTTTAATGGTAAAAATTCCTACTGAACTTTGCCAATCTGAATACAGAGTTAATGGTAGTATTCAATACACTTGTGAAGTAAAAGAACATTCAGTTGTATCAAACCTAATGTACAATTACAATTTGTTGCCATAAGAATAACATCACTAACCTCTCCCACCTGCTATTCCTTCTACCTCTCCATCCTTTATGACAGTTAGCTCCTCCAGTTTTATCATTCTAATTTATACTACTGAAACCCGGACCCTCAAGTCCCACAGGGTAGCTGGTGCTCTCTCTGACAAGGTATATGTTCAGAGTACTCATCAGCTAACAGCTATTTGGCCCTAGGGTGTGTCCTAACAGATAGGAGAGACTGGGAATCCAGCCTTTGTCTTTTTTCATTAGTTGCAGTTTTCTACATCTGAACCCTGGAAAGGAGTAACTGTACCCTGACTTGACACATTTCAGTTCCAACTGACCTAAGATTCAATTTTTCTGTAGACTAATACCTACACTGTCAGTTAAAAGACTAAACTGTACATTGAAAATGCTGATTACAACTGCTACAGGAATACAGTCACTTAATATACTAAATTCCAAAAGGAAATTTATCTGTCATATGTGATTTCTTTTTAATCTGAATACCTTAAAATACTTTTTCTAATGAAAATAACTTTGCTCATTTACTAATCTTTGTATATCCCTAATAATCAGCACAATCATTTTACACAAATTAAGAAGCTATATCTAATACCAATAAAATAACTATATTTCAAACTTAACCCATTCCATATCTTAGCCCAATTACAATTTCACATTTGCAGGTTAAAAAATGACATCAGATTCTAGAAGTCCATATGGCTGATTATATTGTAAAATAATTGCCATCCTCCTTCACAAAATAACCTTAGCTTCTCAAATATAATTTTTCTCCATTCCATATCTATTTTCTGTTGCGATAAATTCTGGGTTTTAAAAAGAAAACAAAGGAAGTTCTTTGCAGTTACTCTATAGAAATAAAGGGTAGCTTTAAAATTACTAGGTATTTTCATAATAAGGGTTGCCCAGGAAGGTGAAAGTAGTAGGTTTCGTACTAAAACACAGGCTAAATGAAGCAAATAACTAGCTAATAATATCCCCTCAACAATTAGGATAAACATTTGTGAATAAATGAAGCAACACCTCTTTAATGCAATATAAAGCTTTTAAAAAATGTTTTCCACTTAATTAGAGGAAAACTGCTAATATTTGTAACCAATTAATGATTTTATTTACTAATGTGTTAACAAAATTGCACACCACAGCAAAATGAGGAGGAAGAAAAAAGTAGATGGAAGCTATATTTGTCTAACATAGTACATTTCTTCCCCCTATTAAGCTTCAAAATAAATCTAAAGAATAAAGTGGTCTGACAAACTATTCTGATACCTATCAAAACTTTATTTTATTATACTAGAAAAGGGTTCCAAATCAAATAACTGATTTTTATTTGAAGCTGGTTAAGATACTCAGTCATCAGATTGTTTTTTCCAGTTACTCTATGTCCTATAATCTTGGATGGGAATTTATATCCCTTTTAATACTCTCCTTCTGTTAACAGATGAGAGATCAGCAGTCTCTGACATTAACAGAGATAATAAAATCTTATTAATATTTAACAGTTTGGAAAATTAATGGAAAAAACAGGAAGATTTTATAACTTAGTTTTATAAAAATTTTATGTGATAATAATAGCAAACATTTATTGAGCGCTTACTATGCGCCAGGCACTGTGCTAAGCGCTATAACAGCATTACAGTACTTAAAAAGAAATAAAATCTTATATGTAGAAAAAGCATTAAACTGTGAGTCAAAAACATATATTCTATATCCAGATGAGCGAAACTAAAAGAAGAAATATTTGCTAAACAAAGAGCATTTTGCAGACTGTTAAGTAATGGTCCTTCATTAATAAAAAGGCCAAAACCACCCATTTAACTGACCAAACAAAAAGGTTTAACTTCCTCTAACTGAAAACATAGAGGAGGTCTATTTTTTTATTTGTTTAGCAAATTCTTCAAAAACATTGTACTGCAAAGGAACATACAGATACAAACGATGTAAAAATAACTTCCAGTCTTTCCTATACCCAAATAATAACAAATTTTGAATTAGAAAAGGTCTGAAATAATGAGGTTTTCCTATGTTAAGTGAAATAAGGAAAACTGAAAATTAAAAATCTTTCCTTTTAAATCCTAGAATTGACCCAGAAGGGGCAGCACTGGTTGTTCTTTATTTTGTAGCTATTTTTTTCCTTAAATAAAGCATCCCAGAATAAATACAAAATTCTTACTTTGTTGCCCGTATAAACTTGCCCCAAACTGAGACAGCTGACCTGATGTAGATGGTGATGCCAGCATCTAGAAACAAATTAATTATATTAGAGCATAAAGAAAGTACACAAGACAATACATTTACACGTTATGAATCTGTACAACACATAGTATGTGAGAGCCAAACCACATTTCCCATTCTTCAAAAAAACATAAAATAAAATAAACATAACATAAAATAAATTTACATAATTTATTTTAAATTAAACATAAAATTCTATGTTTCTTAAGAAAATATTACAATTGGATAAAATAAAAATGTACAAACAAAACTAATTTCTGATTACAAGGTTTCTTCTTTCAAGTTACTCTAAAGGAAACTATAGCAGCATCATTACTTCACTTAAAAAACAAAAAAAAAACAGGCTAACAAAAACATGAAGACAGTAACTCAAAAAGTTAGCCTCTATAAATTTAAATAAGTCTAATTATTGATCTTTAGATAATATATTAAGCTAAATTCTAAATTCAGTTTATGAAAAGTTGAAAATAAAGTTACCTGGACAAGTTTTGTTTTGTAAAAATATTACCCAACATTTATATATGCAAATAGTTTATGTATAAAATGGGTAGAAAAATCTAACAAACATACAATCATATAATAAATGGAGAGAAGACAAAATACCAAAGGACAAGTCAAAATTACTTACAAAAATATATAGATATGGTATATAATGTATACTGTTAGTGAGTGATGTGACTTTCATGGACTTTAAAAAAAATGTTTTATTTTATTTTTTATTTTTAAATATTTATTTATTTGACAGACAGAGATCCAAGTAGGCAGAGAGGCAGGCAGGGCGGGTGGGGCAGGTTACCTCCTAAGCAGAGCCCAATGCGGGGCTCGACCCAAGGACCCTAAGATCATGACCTGAGCCAAAGGCAGGGGCTTAACCCAATGAGCCACCCAGGTGCCCCTTTCATGGACCTTTTTTTTTTTTTTTTTTAAAGAACGAGAGGAGAGAGCACGAGAGGGGAGAAGTCAGAGGAAGAAGCAGGCCCCTTGCCGAGCAGGGAGCCCGATGTGGTACTAGATCCTGGGACTCTAGATCATGACTCTAGATCATGACTGAAGGCAACTGCTTAATCAACTGAGCCACCCAGGTGCCCCCTGATTTCATGGACTTAACAGTGCCTTTCAATTTATTGCATCAGCACCTTTTTTCCTAATAGAATACACATCTTTTTTGAGGGCATGTTATATTCATGGAACACGTTACCTATATTTTTTATTTCCTCAAAGAGACTGGCACTGCATGTGCAGTGCTATACACAAAGTAGATACTTAAACTGAGTTAAATTAAAGCACATACATGCAAATACATGCTTAAGTACTCTCTTATATTAAGTAACCACCAAGACAATTTAACTAAAGACTTGGGCCATGTCATCAAAATTTTCATACCCAGTAGAAGAAAAGAATGAATTATGCACCTAATTATACTCTAAGGCACAATGTGGTAAATCATCTGAAGTATCACAAAAGGAAAATAATTCTAAACCAGGGTGAGGTAACTGAAATATTTTACAGAGCAGTAACATCTGATAAGGAATCTTCCAGGCTGAGAATATGCAGTGAGTGTAAGTATGATAAAAGTTAGTGACATGATTGAATACAAACAAAATAAGAAAAATTAGTGAGAGGAGATGAGGCATACACCCCTATGAACATGTGGACATAACACAGAAGAATGGGAGAGAAAAAAGAGTATGCTGGGGCCAGATGTAAAGGGCAGATGACTACCAACTATGGCAGTAAAAAGAAAAAAGCAGTATTAAGGAAAGAAGTGACCTGATCAGGCTGTGCTTCAGGGAATTAATTCCAAAGCAAAACTGGATGGAAACGGGAAGACACTAAACCAGGACAGCAAAGGTGGAACTACAATAGAGGGGCCTTCTGGGGGTAGAAGCAACAGTATTTCAAGACCTGCTGAAACGGCTGAAGTTTAGGGAAAAGGAGGAGGGTAAGAATCACCAGACAGGGAACTCTTAGGGGCCACTTTGGTTTCCAGTGAAGAATTGTGCTGACATTGATCACTGGGAAAACAGAAGGAGAAATATTCAAACGAGAGGTTTTACAATACAAACTTCATGCTGTTTTCATGTCAAAATTCTAAGTTGTTGTTTTAAAAAACAGTGGTTTTAACAAATGATAGAAATCACTCTTCTGAGGTAGGGCCAAGTAACACACTACTTTAAAACTAAATAACAAACTTTCTAAAGAAGCATCAAACCTTATAAATACTCCTTTTCAAATACAGAGGGTACACAATCTAAACAATTAAACTGAAAGAATACACATTTGATGCCTGATCAAGTTCTTTTGTTAGATACAATCATCATTACTGTTAACCACGTAACTGGAAATATCTCAAGCACCTTAAAGACTCCTTTCCAAATTGCAAAAACAAGATCAAAGAAAATGTATAATATACAGTAAAGCTTTAGTTGGTGACAGAAGGCAAAAGGTTTATATAAAACACTTAAAATCATGATATTCTGTTATCATTGTTAAGTTACAAAGAAAGTAAAAGAGCAGGTTCCAAAAGAGACTAGCAAATGATTGTATGTTTTAGAATGATCCACAATGTGCACACTTTAGAATGGACCACTTAAAATTTTAATTTTCTCAGAAATTTATGTTTACTGAATATGTAAGTCCAAAGAACAGACATTTTAGTCTACTTTCTCACAAAGGTTATATATCCACAAGGAGTTACAGGTGTGCCAAGATAACAACCCTCTCAGCACTAGGAAGCGAAGAGAGGGAGGCACAACATGAAGGTAGAGAGGGCATGGCTCCCTGGGCCAAGTACTGGTGATCAGGAGGAGGAGAGTGACCCACTTACCAGTGTGACATAATAACTACTATCATTTTCTCTATGTGTGAGAGTACATGAGAAGGTTAGTGAACAATATTTTATAGGCGTATGAAAGTAGTTTGTTAAACTTCAGAGTTTATAGCCTTCAAAGCATCCATGTAAAATAAGCATTAATCACTTTTGCAAACAGATGTTAAAATGACTGCCTCAAAACATGTAAAAAAGGCAAATATATAATTTATTAAACCAGTTCCAAATGGTATACATTTTTAAACACTGAAAGCATGCTTCATGAAATATGTCAGTGCTAAAAATATATTTAACACACAATGAAGGAATGTGAATGGGATATAAATGCTAAATGAGAGGGCAAAGAAAATGCACAAGAAATGCACCATGGCACAGCAATAACTACAGTGAACAGACAACAGAAAACTTACATATTTACATACTAAAAGTTAATATAAAGATTAATTTCTTAGAGAAATATCAAAGCCTTAGATCAAGAGACACATTACAGTAGGAATGCAATATATGCTCAGTTTTGGAGTTAAAAAAAAAAAAAAAATTTAGGTCTGAATCCTGGTTCTGATACTTACCTAGGGGAGAGCCAGGCCTCTGTTTCTTTCCTGTAAGATGGAAATAATACTACCTACCAAATAGAGTTGAAGTGAAGATTAAATGGATAAGCTATGGCACATAGTATGTGCTCACTATATGGTAGCAGCTGCACTAATTTTCCTCCCAAAGAAGGACTTCTTTTAACAGCAATCAAAGGGTCATTCAACCTCTGGGGAATTTACTGCATAGTACCCTACATTTATACTAATTTTTGTCTAAGAAACTAAAGAAAGAAGTTCATCATCACAAATTTCAGGTAAAATAAGCAGAGCTTGTGATCCTTCATAGATGGGGGAAATGGCAGAAAAGAATTAAATGTTACATAATTAATAGAACGCTGAAGCCACCAAGGATACTATGTTCCCAATCCAAAACCATCATTTCAATTACACTCTTCCTCAGTTCTCAAACAGTCTATAAAATAAACTGCAGTCAGACAACAACAAAAACCAAGAAGCAACTAGAAGAAACAGTAATGTGATTCATGATTCATGATGATTCCATGATGACCCAACAAAAAGCCCACTTACCCTTGGTTTACTATACAGAATGTTAAGAAAAATTAGTAAGTTAGAAACTATTTAAAAAATTATTTCCACTGTTACTAGATACAACTCTGAAATCCATGACCAAAAAAAGTTTAAATTTTTTTTGTTTCATAAATATATATATATATATATATATATATATATTTGAAAACTTAATAAGCAAATCTGGGACCTGCCCTCAAACCATTAACAACACAAAGGTATCAATTATTCTGTGCTTTCCAATAGTGACCACTTCTCAATTATTCCCTCCAATAAATGTACCTTCAATCCTAAAACAGATTTTGGAAACATTAAAATCAGTCTAGTCAAAAAAGTATTTTCTCAATAACAAATTACTTCAAAATACAAGAAAGTTTGGTTAAATAAAAGTTCCCTGACCACAAAAGCAATTAAAAAATGAAGTAAGTTTTTAAATAACCTTTAAACAATTCATTGTATCATATTACTTAAAGGTGTGGTAATAACCTAATTCTAAATTCTGTTGTTAATCCAAAACAAAAATAACAAAGTATGACTTTGACTATAACATATATACAAACAGGGAGAAAAAAAAAAAGAACCTACAAAGGAAAAGAAGTTCTAAACCTAGGACAGAATCTGAAGAACATTTTAAAATTAAAAACAGTATGGTTTAAAAAATGAAACCACTCATCACAATGACATCTAACTGACTCAAAAAGAAAGACTATAAGAAGACAATACATTAAAAAGAACAAAAGAAGAAAGGAGAAAAGAAGGGCAGGAACAGTCAGAAAAACAGTCAATAAGTCATAGGACCTTGTACCTTATGAATCAGACAAAAATAAATTATGGGTTTAACTCAATATTTCAAATAATTCTGATTAAAACATTAAGTTTTAAAAAGAGCATTTTAAAAAAGCGTACTACAAGCTGAAATAGTCAATGTAATTAATTCCTATTGGGCATTTAACATTCACATTCAAAGTATGACAATGAACATCTTTATATTATATTGTCTAAATTTTAGGTTAGAGCCCAATATATAGGAAGGCATGTGGCTCAAGAAATGTTC